GTTTGTCACACTTTGTGTTCTAGTGGTGCATGGAAAAGCTTCTCAGTGCCATTGTGCTAGTAGATGTGAAGGCCATTGTGTGTAGTCCCTTCATGGAACCATGACTAAAACAACCAGAACTGGGAGAGGAACGATAAGACACTCTGACGCCCTCTGGTTATCCGTTCCAGGCGAGTTGTCTCTGTAAGACTTTTTTTATTTTTGGTTGGACAATGTAACATTGAATGCACTGCTGAGCATTTCCACCTTGTTTTTTCCATGTTTTTTTGTGTGTGACTCTCAAACTGCCTCCCTCAGAGAGAGATTACTCATTCATCTCAAGGGTGTTATATAAAACACCATGTTAATTTAGTCTTGTTTAAATGGCCATACCTGTGTTACCGAGGCGAAACTGTGCTGCATCATCTCCCCTCAGAGGCACAAGCCCACTGAGTCATGTCACTGCATTTTACATCTGTTCTCAAGACTAATAGTCAATCTGTCACTGACTTGGAGTTTTAATCAGTAGGTTGGTGTTTTGTTGTGTCAGAATGGATTTGCTGCAAGTGATTTTGAGCTCCTGTCCTCTTGAAGTCCACTGACAGTGATGTTACGCACTTTAAGTGCAGGCTGTAATGACCACTGCAGTATCATTTGCGAGGGTGCTGATGTCTATTCTCTCCTCATTTTCACTGCCGTCATTGAGTGATACAAAATCCAGAAGGACTGCACTGTATGTCCCAGGCAAACGTTTTGCGTTCAGTCAGACCTGATGTTTTCAGGACAATCTCTGCAAATAAGCACTTTAGTTAAGTGTAAACAGCAGCATGTGTGACCCTGGACCACAAAACCAGTCATAAGTAGCATGGGTAAATTTGTAGCAATAGCCAACAATACATTGTATGGGTCAAAATTATAGATTTTTCTTTTATGCCAAAAATCATTAGGATATTAAGTAAAGATCATATTCCATGAAGATATTTTTGTAAATATATCGGAACTTAATTTTTGGTTAGTAATATGCATTGCTAAGAACTTCATTTGGACAACTTTAAAGGTGATTTTCTCAATATTATGATTTTTTTGCAATATCTCGGCCAAATATTGTCCTATCCTAACAAACCATACATCAATCGAAAGCTTTCAGAGGATGTATAAATTTCCAAAGATTGCCCCCTATGAATGGTTTTGTGATCCAGGGTCACATAGGGTGGCACAGAACTTTCAGCTGGCTGAGTTGTTGTTTTTTATGATTATGAGATTATTTTTAATAGTAATTATTAATTATTGAAAATATTATTAATAATTATTATAATTCTTTATAATAATACATTATAATAGTTTTAGTATTATATTAGTAATAATAATAATTATTATTATTATTATTGATATTCTTGTTATTATTGTTGTTGTCATTATTCCTCATGTGTAAAGACACCATAAGTGCAAACTTGTGTATTTGGAATGTACTGTATGCAGGGATGACATTTATTGTATAGAGAGAGACCATAATTAGCCTATACTCTTACGTTGTTGTTGTTTTTTCCACGACAGAGTATTTTGAGACTTGTGAGGACTGTGGGAATGTTACAGTGATAACTGAGAGTATTTTTCTGCAGTATGTATTTTCCCTGTGTTGATTTATATTTGAATAAATATTTTCTCTGCATCTCTGTGTTTAGCTACCTTTTGTCGTGTGGCAGGATAAAGAACTCAAAAAAAAAAACATGACTCTAATAAACCTTATTAAATCTGTAAAGGAAGGGCTTAAATCGATAGAAATGTGCCTATTTGTGTAATGTTATGTCGCGCGCGTACGATACCAGGCGCGCTCCCGGCGAAAATTCTGGGGATGCATGCGTTTGAGGCGAAGA